GACCTCCTTAAATGCTCTGGTCTTTAATGGGGAGTGTTGCTCAGCTCGTCTCTACAGAATCCCCCACAGCTGCTCAAGAGTGTTAAGATTGAGTGAAATACATGTCCACTGAATGATTTTCAACTCAGGAGAATGAATATCTTGTTAAAAAAATGCCCAACAATGCAGGGAATGAGAAGAGGGTATGTCAGTGTCCAAATATATATAAACCTAACTGTATATATAAAATAAACTATGGTGAGACAAAACATTATGACCACTCATAGGTGAAGTGAGTGTTGTTAATCATCTTCTAACAAGGTCACAATGTGAAGGTCTGGTTAATTTATATGGTAGATGAACAATTGGTAGTCAGTGAACATCAGTGAACTGAACGTCACTGTGGGAACTAGGCACTTCTCACTGTACCCCTCCTCTAGCAACACCATAAAATTCTGGATGCTGTTAGATCTGAAATGATTGACCTGGTCTCATGAGACCAGAGTATGGATTCCCAGAAGTCTATATTTTGTAAATATGGGCCCTGGAAGAGGTTAAATTAGTTTATTGTGCTTTGGCTAGTCGGTAGTTCTGGTGTGGATAAACACCCATGCATGTCACTTCTGCATGCTGCAACTTACTCTGGTTTCACAGTGTTTCTCCTGCTCTTTTTCTAGCAAAAACAGTCTATGAATCACGGCTCTGGTTTTGTGTGGCTGATAACACACTCGCAATTTTCTCCGTCTGTCAGGAAACTTGCCAGGTAACTCGTAATTCAGTCTCGGATTCAAGAACAGCCGCCAACAGCACTGTCACTAATGACGTTCATGGCTTTCATATAATGTCACTTTATTGTCTGGGGAAAAAAAGGAAGTATAATGAAATCCTTTATGATACGGCTCTTTCTTTGGCTTGTAACTGATTAAAATGATGAAGACTTTGAATGTTTTAATACACAACTTTTACTCAACATTTACTCAACCTCATGTCGTTCCAAACCTGTATGACTGACTTTTAATAGTGGTTGTATGTCTTTCGTTTGTTGTCATATTATTCTTCAATTAAGACATTAAAAATGGTCAATTGTAGGAATTATTAAACAGAAATAACTGCTTAACTTCATTTTACTATTGAAGATGCTGCCATTTTGTGTTTCTGCATGATGTAACAGAGCTCAGGTGGTACAAGCATAGATGTAAATACATAGATTCCTCATTAGCAGCGGCTTCTGTGGGATGCTATATTTTTGGTGTCCACATATTGGAAGGGTCAAAGCCACCTGGGAACTCGAGAGCAAGTTGACGGCGTGTCTACAACCGTAGTTATACGCATATATGAATATTTGTATCTGCAGTAGACTTCAGCAGATGATTTTGCTAAACTAACAATGCAGGAAGACAAAGGCATCAAACAGTTAAAACCTGTAATATTAGAGTTAATAGGCCTTCATATAAAAACACAAACACATTCTCACCTGTAAAAATGTATCCCATTTCTTTAGGATTTTAAATCAGCGTTTTTACAACAAGAGGCTGCAATTTTTTGGCATCTTGGGGAACTCACCGATTTTTATTGTGAGTGACGACACATTGACTGTTGGTTGTGACATGGCGGACGTGTCGATGTTTCTGGAGCGGTTGATTGTGACATCTACATATACATATCTATGGGTACTACAATGTTAACATGATTTATAAGGACACTTCCTGTGATTATGCCTATGGAGAGTCCCCGTAAACCACATATACCAATGTGTGTGTAAAAAGAAGCAGTTTATGTATAAAGACCTATTTGTACTGTGTGAGAACAATAGTACTATTATAACAATACTCACTAATATCATTAATGGAAATATGGTCAAACTTAAATTTATTATACATATACCCAATAAAAACATAGAAAATATGTCATTAATGTCTGAAAAAAAAGCCAATTTTGTTTAAATGAAGGGTTGCAAAAATGAGTACATCCTTGATTATATTTAACAAACGGGCAATATTCTAATACACATTTCCTCCATATCTTTAAGTATAGGCCTACTGCTCTCGACTCTTCTTGACACTGAGTGTACATGTTCATGACAAATAGTCACATCTATTCTGATTAACTCCACCTCCTTAACCTCCTTAAATGCCCTGATCTTTAATGGGGAGTGTTGCTCAGCTCGTCTCTACAGAATCCGCTCAAGAGTGATTTTCACCTCAGGAGAATGAATATCTTCATTGTCATGTTAAAAAAAATGCCCAACAATGCAGAGAATGAGAAGAGGGTAGCATCTTCAGTTTCAGGCTTTTGTATCACAGTGGTGTGTGAATTCATGACAGCGTTGA